GTGGCACTGGGTGAGCTCCCAAGGGCCCTTCCACTCCCCACCATTCTGTGTGACCTCTAAGGAGAGCTTGAAGGTCTCACTGCTGAGATATTTCCCCCCCCCCCTCCACCGGGGAAGCTGAAACACCCAAATTAAGCCTCACAAAAATGAAGCTCAGCCTTCCAAACCCCAACCGTGCTCACCTGTGTCGTTCTCCAGCTCGAACCGGAGGTTCTCTGAGGAAAGGAAAGAAAGGAATTTAGATCCCTTTGGTGCAACCAGGAAGGTCCCTGGGGACTGCGACCTCGCTCCCCGCAATAGGGCGAGCCACCAAGCACTGCTGCTTGGGAATGGCGTTGGACTTCCCCGCAGGAATCCCAGGGAAAGGGGCTGCTTTTCAAGCAAACAGGGCTTTGCGTTCTTGATGAGCAGATGCTCGAGCAATAAAAAGAGTTCTCCCACCAAGCCCACGGGAGAAACCAGAGCACAGCTCAAACCAAATCATCTTTTTAAGTTGAGTTTCATTTAAAGCCAAATTAAAAAGAAAAAAACGTGTTTCAGAGCTCACCCTTGAACTCCAGCAAGACCTCTTTCAGCACCGCACTCTTCTGGGAAAAGCTCTTGAGTTTCTTCTCCAGCTCCGTGAAGCCGGCCTCCGGCTTGCAAAACATCCAGCTCTCAAAGCTGGGGAGAAGAAATAAAGGTTAGGTTTGCTCTGGAATTAAAAAGAAAAATCAAATCTCCAAACTTAGAGGCAGGAAATAAACCTGCCCTGGGACTGAAGGGGTTTGGTATTGGGTTATTCGCCCTCATGAGGCCACAACCAAGGACTGGTCCAGTTTGGAGCTGCCCAGTACGAGGCACGCAGGGAGGCCACTGAGATAAAGAGTTGGGGGGGGGCGGGATCTCCACACCCCGGCTGGAGCCTGATCCAGCTCTTGATACTGGTCCTGATGGTGTGGGGTTTGGTCCCTCAGCCACCGAGTTACTCTGCCGTTTCCTCTGTAAGGCCGCTCCCAAAAACGCGCCTGCCACAGCAAACCCCCCCTTTGCCAAGGTTTTTGCCTCAAAGGTAACACCCAAATTGGGGGGGGAAGGATGGACGGACACTGGATGGGGTGTACGCCCACGCAACACCAGCTCTGCCTCCGGGGTGAACCTCCCAGCAAACCCAGCAAGGGCTCAGGTTCACTCACCTGCTTCCAGCCGGGACAACACCCTGGAGAGTGGAGAAAAAAAAAAAAAAAAAAAAAAAAAGACCAAGCTGATCAGTACAAACCTTTCTTCTACCTCACAGCCTCCAAAATCCTCCCCAAAACTGGCCCCACGGCTGCTCTGCTACAGGGATCAGCTCTCAGCAGCTGTCTCCAAAGCAGGGCACAATCGGGCTCACGGAGATGGCAGAATTAAGTTTATAATTACAGGGGTTTTTTTCTTCCCCTT